AATAAGTTTCTAATTTTGATATAAATATTTTTGCAATAAAAAAGCGAGCATAGAAACTTTTTTCGAAGAGCAACGAATCTAAAGCATAAGTCGAAATCTAAAGGAGCTATTTAAAAACAATAATAAGCAATAAATTCTGTGAAAGGTTGGGTATCTTTTGGCTATAAACATTTATGAAACCAAATCAACCGAGAGCTTTTAGCGAGAACGTTAAAAAAAACAGAAATTTCGTGGAATACTTTATAAATCAACGTCAGATCAGATATTGATTTATCAGATGAGATATTGATTGATACTGAAGCTTTGTTTCAAGAGAAAGCTAATGCTCATTTTCTTTCTTGAAACAATAGGTTTTTGCTCTTTTCTCTTGAATAATAATGAGTCGCTTTTTTAAATAATAATGAGTCGCTTTTTACGCGTAAAAACTAACAACAATATTGGAAAAAGCCACATAGTTGAAGGGGTTTTACAAAGCCGATCCATGCACTCGAAATATTGGGTTGGGGAGAATGAGTCGGCGCCGAAAATGAAAAAAATGTCTAAAACTTCTATTCGACTTCGTCAAATAATATGCGTTTGATGTGAGTAGAATGGTTAACTAATTCTCTACAAAATCACATTTAAAAGAAAATTCAAACAGCGCCTCCGCTCAAGAAAAAGCCATTTTTTCACAAAAACTACAAACTGTGATCTAGAAAAAACCATTGGTGGGATCTTCCTGCAAATTTGGCAACTTAAGTAATTGAATGTGCTCTATCTTTTTTATATAAACACCAAAGAAGGTTTATGTGAAAGAAACTGTTCAAATGATGAGTCGGACTCTTTGCCATTTTGATTAGCTGTGTTTGGGAATCCATAAAATCCCAAAAAAGAAAAGCTTTGTGGAATCTCTCAAAAGCCATTTTGTAAAGAAATAGTGGACCATTTTGATGAAACAAAACGTGTATTTAAAGAAGGTTTTATGGGTGCAAAAAGTTTCTTTAAATTTCGGCGCCGACTCATTCTCCCCAACCCAATACAAAATGACTCTTTTGAATTTTTTGAAAAATCTTTTATTTTAGAACTTTTTCAGGCATTTTAAGAAACGCACCAAATAAGGGGCGGAGATTATCTGACATTTGATAGCGCCGCCCCTTTTTCATTAACAATCTAACTTTGGGCTCAAATATCTTGGTGTTGGGCTGTCGAATTTAAATATTCTTGGTATCATTAGATGCGGCAAGTCTTTCTCTAGCGATTGGTACAAAAACTATTTCAATTGGGCAACCCAATACGAAGATATTTGAGCTCAAAGTTGGATTGTCGATGGCAAAGAGGCGGGTCGTGTTTCAAATCTCCCAAGATCGACCCTACGACCCGGTTACTATACTGGACCACCTAATATTTATTTGCTGATAACTAAGCGTAAGAAAAATAACCAAAATGAAAAATTCTCAGCAATTTTACAGTCATTAAGTCATTTCATTCCTTTAGCCATAACGAGCTCAAAGAGAAAATACGGATTTGTATATAGGCATGAAAGAGTCAAACTGAAAATCACAATCTTCTGTTTTACAGGGTGTCTCAATATTACCCAAATCAACCGCCGTTTGCCGCGCTTTTGGATTGGCTATCTTTGCTGCTTTTTTGTTTATTATGCAAATTTTGACTTTTAAAATGTTATTCAGCAGGATGGGGCGCCTGTCCACAAAGCCTGAATTGTCCAAGAGTGGTGTGAACGAAACTTTCCATATGTCATCAGCTTTAAGCACCATCAAGCCCCGATTTAAATCTGATGGCTTACCCAGTCTGGAGTGTTCTCGAAGCAAAAGTTTGCTCAAAAGCACATTCAAGTATCGATTCATTGAAAAAATCACTCCAGAAAACTTGGGCTGAACTCGCTGGGCTGAAAGCTTGGGCTGAACTCGCTGAACTTTTGGCCACCATCGACGGCTTTCCAAAACGTGCAGCCCATGGAGATATTTCGGAAAAGAAATAAAACAAATTGTTGAAAACAAGCTAGAGAATAAATTTCTTAATGTTAAACTTTGTTTTTTCGATGAAAAGATTTTTAAACCGTGAGTTTTATTGGTTCGGGTAATTTTGGGGCACCATGTAGTTACAGATCGACTTACAGAGTTACAGAGTTACAGAGCCACAAAAAGTGCCCCTTACATTCTTTGGCCCTAGTTTAGTCTCTTCTTTATTTCTCTAGACTCATCACTTTTACACCCATTCCCAGAGTAATGAAGTTTTTTCCTCTAATTTGATCAATCTTGAAAATTCTTTAATAAAAAACTTTGTGAAGTTTGTGAACAAACTCAACTTTAATTATCATCGCATTAAAAGGATTTTGTAATAGAATGAAATGCATAACGATTGCCTTACAAAACGCTAAATCAAAGAACTTGATGTGGTTGTTTTTCTATAAGATTTGCAGGTCTGATCACGCTTGCACGCTTGTGCAGCCACCCATGGAGATATTTTCAAGAAAAGATAAACCAAAATTGTTGAAAGCAATCTAGAGAATAAATTTGTTAATGTTAATTTTTGTTTTTTTTAATGGGATGTTCTTGTTTAGAAGTTGATCTAATTGTAAGCTCTAATACAAAAACGTTTTGGATTTATGCCAAAAACCGACTCGCCAAAAAAGCATTTAAATAGCATGAACAAGCCTTATTGCTAGCTCTAGCTATTGAGTTTTATCACAAAAGGACTCTTCTGTCTTTTCCCTACTTTTTATGAGCCCACCGCCTTTTTCACTTTCAAGTTTTTGAGCATCTTTAGCTATTGGGTTGGGGAGAATGAGTCGGAAAATTTAAAGAAACTTTTTGCACCCATAAAACCTTCTTTAAATACGCGTTTTGTTTCATCAAAATGGTCCACTATTTCTCTACAAAATGGCTTTTGAGAGATTCCACAAAGCTTTTCTTTTTTGGGATTTTATGGATTCCCAAACACAGCTAATCAAAATGACAAAAAGTCCGACTCATTGCTTGAACAGTTTCTTCCACATAAACCTCCTTTGGTGTTTATATAAAAAAGATAGAGCACACTCAATTACATAAGTTACCAAATTTTCAGGAAGATCCCTCCCAACCGTTTACTCTAGATGACAGTTTATCGATTTTGTGAAAAAATGATCCTTTGTTGAGTTGAGGCGCTGTTTGAGTTCTCTTTTAAATATTATTTTGTAGAGAATTAGTTACCCTTCTACGGATATCAAACGCATATCATTTGACAAAGTCTGCTATAAGTTTTAGAAATTTCTTTGATTTTCGGCGATTCCGAAATTCGGCGATTTTCGGCGATTTCGGCGAAATTTCTTTGATTTTTCTTTGACTCATTCTCCCCAACCCAATACAATTGCTTTAGTGACTTTTTCTTTTTGGCTACATTGAACTTTACGGTTAAAAAATTCAAAATTAAACGTCGAATTTCTTTTTGGTTTAAAAATTTTGGTACTTTGGTGGTTGGGGAGAGGCACCTAAATTTTTCAGTTTTTTATTTCTCTAGGGGTAAACGAGAGCGCTAAACACGAACGCTAAACACGCTAAACCACTAAACACAAAAACTTTTCATAAAAAAATTCTTGTTAAAGTCATAAATGTGAATATTCATCGCATAGCCATATTCATATGAACACTAATTTATGCAACAATGTATTGGAAGTTCACTGACTTTAGTTTTCAAATTTTTCATAGAGAATCTTTATTGACATGTGCTTAAAAAATGATTTCATTAATAGATTTCATTAATAGCTTTCATTAATATTGGGTTGGTGAATGGAAAACTGCGGGCTATTGTCATATGTGACAGTTTGAGCACTTTCTTCAAAAGAAACCCATTTTGGTGTCAATGGAAAAGTTGTAGAGAACCAAAAATTAAGCCTATATCCAAATTTTCAGAACGATTCAAAAACTGGTTTTCAAGAAATGCGAAAGTTACGAATTTTCACAAAACTTGCAACAAAACTTGCATTTTAAGCGAAACTACTAAGTGTATCTTTTTGGAAATTTGTCTATAAGCCTAATTTTTGATTCTCTACAACTTTTCTATTGACACCAAAATGGGTTTCTTTTGAAGAAAGTGCTCAAACTGGGATCTCCAGTCTCCATCTCCAGTCCTCTATTTTTGAGTCTCACACTTGTCTCACACACAAACCAAAATCCTACTACGAAAGAGGAATCCGCAAATTGCCTGTAAAATGGGCAGAAGTCGTCAATAATAATGGAAATTATTTGGAATGAATTGATGGTTTTATGTTCAATAAATTTTAGTTCAAAGTCCCGCAGTTTTCAATTCACCAACCCAATAGTTTAAGTTTGAAAAACTTTATTTCATGACCTTGTTTGATAGTTTAAACGTGATTTATTTTTAAAAAAATAATACAAAGCAACAAACAAGCACGTATAAACACTTATGAAAATTTATAAAAACAAGAAAATTTATTAAATACTAAAAAATTTTTTTACAAAAAGCAAAAGTTTTACCCAAGTCCGGGCTCAAACCAGGGCCAAAAAGCCTAGCGATTATTTTGAGAGCCTAGCGCGCTTACCACTTGGCCACAATGACGTACCTTTGATGAACGCAAGATCGCTTGATACTCGCGCGGTCAGAGAAATAGCGCAACACGCAAAAACTGCTTTTTTTTTTTTACACAAAAACTTCAAACGGATTTAAATCGAAATTTTGAACCCATCACATAAAAATGGCGTAGATATTCGGGATCAGCGAAAAATTTGCTACAAAATAGGCTAGGTCGCACGTTGAAATTCGATGGTAAATAAACAATGATCCCTAGTAAGGAAGTGAGGAAATAAAAAATTTAGGTGGCTCCTCCAAACAAAATGTGATGCATTCAAAGTACCAAAATTTGTCCCCTCATTATTTTTGTGTTTTTTTTGTGCATAACTATGCATAGTAAAGGATAAAAACTGATTTTGAATGTATTTTGGAAGTTTAAAGTTCAATTTAGCCTTCGTTTTTGTTCTACAATCAACTTTTGGGATATTTTCTTGATGGATCATGTGGCTTATTTGGACCTAGCGCTTCCCGTTGGCTTAGCTGAGAATGATTACGAAACGATTTCTCACTTCAGTGGTTTGATATTTTTCTAGATATTCTAGCACTTATTTTTTTTAGATTACCGCAACATCAACATTATTAATGTCTACAACAATATTCAAGTGAGAGAGTTGCCGTGCACTCGACCACCAGAAGCTCCACATGTTTGTGTATGACGTTCAGCGATTAATAAAATGTTTTAGACAAACTTCTTGAAGTTCAAATTCTTTCAAAAACTTTTTCAGACACTTCAACGTGGTTCTTGGTCAACGACGAGAATGAAGCACAAAGTTAGTAATGTTATTATCCGCTTTCAAGTTAAAATTCAGAGTTTTCTCATCAGCTACACTGTGTTGTATATCCTTTTCTATGCAAACACTTGGACACTTGTTCATTTGGATAGTAGCAAGAGCAGGTTTAGTGAAGTACATTTTAAAAAAAGCTTTCTCTTCCAGCCTCTGGAACAGCCTTTTCTCAAAAATTCATACTATCTACGGAATTCTACTTTTTCTCACCTACATTGCTTTCACTTCGATCGGTATTGCGGGAATTTTACTGAAAAAAGCGAAATTCATGTTCACCTTTATCGTTTATCTGGTGAGGAATTGGAAAATTATTTTCAAGAAACGTCACCGAATAGAATTTTCTCCTTTATAGGCTATCATCATCTTTATTTGTCTTCCACATATGGGCTATGATGTGTCGGAGAGTGGCGGCTTGTTCACCCAGTTATCGATTGTGCTATTCATGATGAACTTGTGCCATTTCTTATGGTGGCTTAGTTGCCTATTTTTATTTCTTTTTCATTTTCGTCGTTTGCAAGCTTGTCGTAAATGTTATTGATACGTATTGGAAAGATCAACTGTTGTGATGGTATTTGTGATTAAAAGTTTCGGGTACATAAAGTACCGAACAGAATAATATCCTCGCAAAAATCCCATCCTCAAGCCCTTTTTTCGGTATTTAAACATGGGAGTTACCCCGAACACCATCTATATTCTGAAAGCTCAATTCAAGATCTAGCGAATGGTATATTTTGTATTTTAGTTTAGATCAGTTTTTGAAGCATTTCAGCCCTTCAAGGATGACCACTGAAAATTCAGCAAAAAATTCAAAAAATTCAACTTTCAGAATGAATTTTTCTCTATGATAGCGAGCTCCAATCGTTTCGAAACCACGTTTTTCGAATTCCTCGCTAAATTTTGCGCTAGAAACCGGTTTTAACAGGTTTTAACAGGTTCTAACCGGTTTTAACAGGTTTCCATCCGCAAAATGACGTTAAAACGGGCGCTTCCACCAAATGATCGTATCGGTTTTTTTTGGAAGACTCAACTTATGCATATTTGTTTTTTTATGTCTTCTCTTTATTATTGACTTATTTTAATAGTTAATTTTGCTTAATTTAGCCATGGGAAAGCGTAAGGGATCTAAGGATTTAGACGAGCGAAATCAGCAAGCGATCATCAACGGAAAGAGTCAAGGAAGATCACTTGCCGAGCTTGCTAAACAATTTGGAGACGCTTCGACGTTTCGACGCTTCGACGTTTCGACGCTTCGACGTTTCGACGTTTCGACGCTTCGACGTTTCGACGCCATTTCGCGGATGGAAACCTGTTAAAACTATGATAGCGAGCTCCAATCATTCCGAAACCACGTTTTTCGAATTCCTCGTTAAATTTTGCCCTAGAAAAAGCGGTTCTTAACCGGTCAATCGAGCGTCTATGGCGATCTGCCAAATGGAGAAAGAAGAAGCTTTTCGGCACAGCATGTCATTTCCTTTTGAGCTACCTCGCTGAATTCATGATCCGACAAGAAATGGGGAAGGACGATTTCTACGAATGATTGTTGCTACGGCATGAATTCCTCATTGATCTTATTTTGATTTTTTTTTTAATTTTGATTAAATTGATCGATTTTTGATTATTAAATGATCAGGGGCTATTTTAACGGATTTATAACGGAAAAGTACGGCTTTTTGCTATCTAAAACCTTTTGACAGCATAGAATTTGGAAGGCGTTTAGTAGCTCAAATTTAGGTGTAGAGTTTTGGCAAAACGTGGCTTTTTTTTTCCCGGCATCACTGTAAAGTTGCTAAGAATTTTTCATTTTAGCTCAGTTTTCTTACGTTTAGTTATCAGCAAATAAAGATTAGCTTGTCCAGTTGTGAATGCACGCCTGCTTGAAGTTGTTTTCAAGTTGTTACAGCCGCCTTGAACAACTTGAACAGCATTCCTTAGAGCTTTACAATTTTATCAAACCCAATTTTCTACATACTTTTCAGGATTTCTTATTTTATTACAACTTTTCGTGTTTTTGACGTCAAACCAATTTTTTGACTTAATTTCTGTGTTTAGATTTGGTTTCTGTGAACGGCACGAAGTTTTGTCTGCGTACCAATCTTTGGTATGACTTCAAATTGGGCAAAAATACCGCTGAATCTCATCAAGACCTTTGGAAAGTATTTTGGAAGATGCTATTTCGGAAAGCCAGTGTCGGCGATGGTTTCAACGATTTCGAGAAGGAAATGAATTTTTGGGAGATGAGGACCACCGGCCTCCTACGATCGATAATGCAGTACTTAAAGGGGCGATCGAAATTGATCCTCGACAAACTACTTGCAGAAATATTTGGAATAAGCCCTCAAAAACGCGCATATATAACTGAACAACCTAACACTTTACGAAAACTACAGGGTGCGTCATAATTATTGCAACAAGATACTCAAGGCATTGCACACCAAGAAGTTTCACTGGAAGAAGATTTTTAAACAGAAATAGCTTTATTTAACAGTAACAAATAAGGAAACAAGAGATCATTCGATATGACCGCCTTTTGCCTTGATAACAGCCCTTAATCGGTTCGGATATGCCTCCACTGCGGCCCGAATGTCATCTTGAGGAGTCGCCTTCCATCCTTTGGTCAAAGACTTCCTCAAGGTCAAAGACTTCTTCAAAGAATCCAAACTTGTGTGTTTTCGAGAGCAGACATTAGCCTCTAAGATTGCCCAAATGGAAAAGTCCATCACATTGAGGCCATTCATCCTTGGTGATCACTGAGGGAAAGTTGGCCACACACCAGTCCTGAACCATCTTCTTCGTGTGAGCGGGAGCTCCATCTTGCATGAAGATCCAATTTTGATTGTTATTGGCTTTAGATGCCCATGACATCACATTCTTGACATCACAAACGGTCTTTGAACTCTTGTTGCAATAATTATGACGCACCCTGTAAATATTCAGAAAGCCTTGATCTTTTTTTAATTTTCGAATCGAAAACTGCTTGTTTATTTGAGATCACATCTGACAAAACCAATCGAAATTCGAAATCGCGAACATTTCAAATGACTTCACACCCAATAAACTCTTATCATCGCATCAATTTCCAATAGACCCCTACAAACCTGTCACTTCCTCAATTCACGGCTTTTACATGGTTCAAGCAATAAAACACTGTATCAACAAATAAAAATCACACTTCGTCTGATCCTTTTCAAGATTGTAAAAGCACGACAATTTTTGTTTGATCAATCATTCGCTGAGGTTCCTGCTTTCAAGATTGTAAAAGCACGACAATTTTTGTTTGAGCAATCATTCGCTGAGATTCCTGCTTTGAAATGCACCAAAAAGCTATAGTTCTCCTATTTTTGCTTTTCAATACAAGTTTTGGTAAGTTGGACGCAAAAAAAAAACAGAAAGCATTCGTTTCAGCCTTTGACACATGTTATGTATTGTTCGTGATCGATGGCTCAAGTTATTGGGTTTGTTTTGAGAAGCGTTCAATTAGTAGAGTGTGTTCCTCGCAAGTAATGCCTTTTTTAAAACGCACCCTTAGGAAAAATTACCGTCCTTTTAGCGAAAAATCACGAGCGCCGCCTTATATACGACTCCTTTTAAAGATATTCAATCGTTCAACTGATTTGGTGGCAAATTCCCTTCAAATGTAAAGATATTCAATTTACTCGACGTGTAAAGAGGATTACTCGTAGTGATTCATTACTCGTAGACCAAAAACGCCGATTAATCGAGTAGAGATTGCTCATGCAAATTTTACTCGAGTAATTACTTACTCGCGAGGAACACACTCTATCAATTAGGCTCAATTCAATTAGCGTTCAAATAGCGTTCAATCTAAAATTAGGCTTCACGAATTTACATAAATACAAAGAATTTAGAATACAAAGAATCTAGAATACGAAGAAAAACTTTGCCTTTTGATTTCTATCTATCGCAGAGTTCTGGTCTCTTAAAAATTGGGTTGCAAGATTTTTTTGAAGAGGCAGCTCCAGTGATAGCTCAGCCGTTTGTAAATAAAAGAAGAGCTTTATGTGCCTTTCGTACAAATCCTAACAATCTCGTAAGTACTCTAATATAACACAATTCAGCCATCTTTCCGCGGTGAGATCACCTCAATCGCCACCACAGGAAATATCCTTTATTCATCGAGTGCCGTTTATACAAATTCGAATTTTTGGTTGTACGGAGATGGAGATCAAGATCAACCGATTCCGAATTGGTTTTACTCGGAAAAACAAGATTTTCTCGATAATGTTGCCGAAGTGGAATCGGATAAGGGACAGGAAACGATCGTGGGGTGGGTTTAGAAGAACTTCTTGTCTGTTGGCTAACACCAACACGAACTGTTGGCCAACACCAACACGAAAAGTCAGCTTGACTTCAAAAAAGCTCAGCTCTTAACCTATCCCTTGTCAGCTCTTTGAAAGTATTTTTCTAAGAAACCAGCTAAATCATCTAAGAAATCAGCTAAATCAATAAAAAGTTTAGCGCAACAGCCAAGCTTAACCGATGGGAAATCCACAATGCTGTGATCGTTCTCTACACAGCTAGGTAGCACAGAGTTTGAACTTGAATCTCTTACCAAATTTTCAGCCCTCAAAATCTGATCCGGATTGCCGGATCCAATTACACTGAACAATATCGTACACTGGCTATTCATGTGAATGGTTTTTACTTGATTATTGAAATTGAATTCCATTGTTTTTAGATGGAGTTGATATGAGTCCAATCTCGGGTTATTCAAGTCCACAAATGTCCGATTTTGAGAATATCGTTGAGCTGATTGCCGATGTTTGTCGGCAATTGCCAACAGAAGGGGTAGGTGAATATTGAAAGCTGACTTGATAAGATTTGTTGTTTGAAAATCAACACTTCTTTTTAAGCCAACCACTTCCGAGCTGCCTACCACTGCTACATCGTCATCGTCTGCTACATCGTCGCCGTCAACTAGTCCTTAGTAACATTACTGCACTAATATTTAATTTCAAACAGTTCTTCTCAAAAGCAAGCTTTAGTTTCCCAACCCAAACCACAAGTACTCAAAGCGAAACGCCAACAACGTGAGATTTTTTATTATTAGTGTTAAATAGAGCTAGCTGAGTGTAGCTCAAGCTCAAGCTCAAGCTCAAGCTCAAGCTAAGTGCAGCTCAAGCTCAAGCTGAGTGCAGCTCAAGCTCGAGCTGAGTGCAGCTCAAGCTCAAGCTGAGTGCAGCTCAAGCTCAAGCTGAGTGCAGCTCAAGCTGAGTGTAGCTCAAGCTGAGTGTAGCTCAAGCTCAAGCTGAGTGCAGCTCAAGCTCAAGCTGAGTGTAGCTCAAGCTCAAGCTGAGTGTAGCTCAAGCTCAAGCTGAGTGTAGCTCAAGCTCAAGCTGAGTGTAGCTCAAGCTCAAGCTGAGTGCAGCTAGACTCCTCGTGAAGTTCAACTTTAAATTTAACCATTCTGTACGGAAGAACTATACAATATTACATTTTGCAAGACAAGATCTAAATTAAGTTTTATGCTAAATTTTAAGTTTATCTTTGGATACAGTATAGGTTGCAAATTTTAGGATGACAGGGACTACTGGAGAAACGACAGACACCACAGGAACGACGGCGACTGTTGGATCAACATCAACTCCTTGGGAAGACATCACTGCAACGACTGAATCTTTTGAAACAACTGTAAGTCGTTGTCTATTGTTATACATTTTGACTAAGCTCAACTTATTTAAGGGATCAACAAGTGCATCAACAGAAAGTGCTGGAACAACACAAACTGCATCAACCACATCATCAGATTTTTTTGTCTAACTATTAAATTTTGAAGTTTATTCCAATTGTGCAATAAATTATTTTACAAAGATGTAAAAATCTAATAATCTTTTGGGGCCATTGGGGAAACGGTGAGCGAGAAGGTGCGAATCTCTTGCGGGTTCAGAGTGACTGTTGTGGCTGAAATGTGTTGTAAAAGAGAAATTGAGTAAACTGTAATTCATAAATCAAGTCATAAATTCTATAAAAAGTATTCACTTAAACAGAAAAACTTACACTTTCCGGTGGAATTTTTATTTCCTCCGAGCAGCAACTCTTGCACCGATTGAATCGTGAACCCGGTGAAGAGATTCTAAAGAAAAATTTTTGAATAAATACTTTAACAAGTTGAGAACTTGACTAGTAAATTAAAATGTGAACAGCTATAGTTTCTTGGGGCATAGTTCATACCAAGACATAGTTCATACCGAGAAATCGATAGTGGCTGGTTGTGAAAGGGATGGATCCTCATTTGCTTGGAAGATATGCTCCAATCTCATCAAGATTCCATCGCTTCTCTTCTCCAACGTCAACAAGTTCACATTGGCTGGAAGGTCGCGCTTGAGACCAGCAAACTGAAATCAATTGTATTTCTTGTCTGACAAGATCTGACAATAAGATAGTTAACATTAGCAAGTCTTGATCTGATTCAAAAGCCTAATTCTTGTTGATCTAGTTACCTTGGTTTTGGTTGCTTGTCGGTAAGCAGCAGGATCGGCAACGGTCGCATAGGCGGCGATCGGACGATGGAAAAGATTGACGGCGAGCGGGCGATGGGTTGATGCTGATGGCTAAAATGAAAAGTCAGCTTTTGAAGAACCCCGGAGAATCATGACTTTGACGATATCTAGGTTGCGGCAAAATTATGGAACTAACTTTGCAGTCAGCTGTTTCGCGTTGTGTGTTTTTGCATTTGTTTTGTATTGTTTTGTATTGTTTTGTTAAGTATTATTAAACGCTCTGTTATTAGATATGAAAAGCAAAGAGGACTTGCTCCCGGCGATAATTCGATTATTTGAGGAAGGAAAACGAGTGATGGAGATTGCCGATCTTTTGAAAGATCTTTCGGTCATTCCAAAAGCCATCAAACGTTACAAAGAGACGAGAAACAACGACAATCGGGCTAGGAGAGGATGTCCTAAAACAGCTACCACGCTCCAGCGATGAAAGCAAGTTATTGAACGTCTTAAACGTAACCCAAGGATTGGAAAGAACTCAACTCGGAATAAAAATGGCTGTCATTGGAATCTCAGATCGCTCTGTTTGACGAATTCTTTAAAAAAGGAATCAAAGCCAGAAAAGATGTAAAAGGCTGATGGATTCTATGAAATTGAAGCGTCTTGCACCTGCTAAATCGCTAAGTGAATCGCTAAGAACTTTCCAGATTGGATCACCGTTGATTTCAGCTCACAGATTCCTAGTGAATGGCCATCGAACTCGCCTGATCCTCAACCCTCTCGATTATTTTATTTGGTTCATTCTGGAGGCAAAGACTTGTGCTAAATTCCACACATCAATCGACTCTTTGAAGCGCGACTTTGTTAATGCATGAGACTCAATTTCTTTGACTATTATCGAAAAGATTTCCAAAAGGGAATCACCGATTTTCCCAAGCGATTGAAGAAAAGTCTTTCTGCAAATGGTGGCTATTTTAAGATTTAAAAATTGTTATATTGTAATTAATTTGTTTTTTTAATTTTATGAATAAATTGTTGGCCGTTGCGAAAATTTACGATTAAGGAGTTTCCATTAATTGTTGTTCCATAATTTTGCCGCAGTCTATAGCTTTGTTTATCCATAAATTAACCGTATTCTTTTAGGCCATTATGATAAAGAGTTCAACCAACCGCCGGTTCATCGAAAAGAACCCAATGTTGTCCACGAACAACTAATCCCTTTCCGTCTTTTCCAGGCTCATCCAAAGCTTCATCAACTCCGAAATGATCATCGTGGAAACAACGACGATGAAGCTAAACAATACAAGGTATTATTTTCCTTTAAGATCTTATCTCTTTGTATAGCTTAGGCAATTTGTACCATCAATTCAAGCGCTCCATTCCTGGCCATTCCTCCTTGGGCACGATCGGTCAGCACAGTCAATTGATTTGTGTTATCTTTCATGAAGATCCGGTTGACGACTGGGTAATAGTTTCCGGCAATTGGCTCAGTGTCCTCATATTGGAATTGTGGATAGGAGTCCCATCTGAGTGGTTTTATAAAAGAGCTAATTCTCATTGAAATATTAGATCTATTTAACAACTAGACTAACAACTAGAGATTTGATAGAGCTTTTGCAGCAAACTAGAGATCTCTCATAGAGCTCAAGCAAACTTTTTAGCACAAACGTTCTCTGGAGCACTTGTCTTCCGCTTGCATCCGTCCAAAAGAGTCCATTTGTTTTGATATCCGTTGTGTATCGAGTGATGATCTCTTTTCCGATTGGGTTGCTAAAAATTACTAGATTCGTAACTTATGGATGTCATCTTGTACTAAAAAATCTATCAAAATCCTCCAAAATCCTCCAAAATCCTTCAAAATCCTCCAAAATCCCTAAAATCCTTTAAAATTTTTCGAAACAGTAGGAAAAATCATAACTTCAGCTTTCGTTTTAACTTGAACCAGGTTTAAAGGGATACTGTACTTCTTAAATACCGTATTTTCTCTAATAGTACCCCTCTAATAATAGTGTACCTCGCCGAGCCGAGTTGGTGACTATTTTACGGCTTTCAAAGTTCTAACAGAAGCTCAACACTCAAATCCCCCATAAGATCTCATCGTCAGCTACATTTTCCGACCCCACATCGATAGGTTCTGATAAGCGCTTTTCAAGATTTCGAGCAATTTAGGCGAAGCTTAGGGTGCACTACTATTAGAGAAAATACGGTATCTAGCCAAAGATATTTCAATCAAACCTGTGAGCCAGGTTCTAGCAGGGACTTTATGCAAGTCAAGCCAGTAATAAGGCAAATAATACCGTATTTTCTCTAATAGTAGTGCACCGCGCTGAGCCGAGTTAGTGACTATTTTACGGCTTTCAAAGTTCTAACAGAAGCTCAACACTCAAATCCCCCACAAGATCTCATCGTCAGCTACATTTTCCGACCCCACATCGATAGGTTCTGATAAGCGCTTTTCGAGATTTCGAGCAATTTAGGCGAAGCTTAGGGTGCACTACTATTAGAGAGAATACGGTAATTAAAATGGCTTAGTTTTTTTTAATTGAAGATTTTTGTTTACTTTATATTTTGCTAAACTCTCTTGCCTGTTTTCTTTCGGAATCGGTCCGATGACCCAATCGAATTCAATTTGTGGCTGTCCAGTGTAGAGGCGAATCGTCTGATAAGCCCAGTCGGTCACCTTTTTGCCTCACCTCTTGCACCGAGACGCCCTAAAAGTGTCGCCAGTAAAAATTTGAACGAGACTTTACGAATGTTTTTGGAATAATAAAAGTTCAAAAAAAGAGCTTTCTAAGAGAATCGCTAGATAGATTGAATCTCAAATGAAATATGTTTATTGTTTAACAGCACAGCTATGCAGTGATATAAAACCAGGGTCGCTCCAAGATGGTACGACCTTTTATACGCGCCCCGCCCCCTTTGCCATTGACAATCGAACTTTGAGCTCAAATTTCTTGGTGTTGGGCTGTTCAATTGGAATAGTTTTCTTACCATTCGATAGAGAAAGACTTGGCGCATCTAATGAAACCAAGAATATCTAAATTGAACAGTCTAACACCAAGATATTTGGGCTCAAAGTTAGACGACCAATCTAACTTTGCCAATGGCAATCTAGCTTTGCCAATAACTGGATCTGCGCTTGTTCAGAACTTGTAAATGTCACACTGCAAATCCAACCTTGACAACGGTAGTAGTAATTGATGTGCTCAAAGTTTTCGTCGTTTGAGCAGCTGGCCGGAAAATGTAGGCACCAGAGGGTTGAGCAGAGTTGGCACTGCTCTAAACAACAAACAGACTCTTTAAAATTTTACAAAAGCTTTAAATAGGCACTGATTTAGATTTAATATGCTAGTTTTGCATAGATTTGCATAGATTATCTTCTTTTACCTCATAATAGAGAAACTCTTGCTTCAAATTGCGACGAGTTCCCGATTTCTTGTTTTGAACCGAAGACAAGTAGCCGTTTGCGTCGAATTGAAGAGAAACATACTAAACAAAAGATTCTTTTGGGATTCTTTTTGGGATTTAAGATCATTTAAGACTAGAGCTTACATCGTTTTCGATCGAAACCGTATCAGCTTCACTTGGTTGAATCACTTTTTCCGGGTAGGCAAGTTCCGCGTTGCTTTGTTTTGGTGGCCTAGAAAACGATGAGCTTTGGCTCAAATAAGCTTTGGCTCAAATAAGCTTTGGCTCAAATAAGCTTTGGCTCAAATAAGCTTTGGCTCAAATAAGCTTTGGCTCAAATAAGCTTTGGCTCAAATAAGCTTTGGCTCAAATAAGCTTTGGCTCAAATAAGCTTTGGCTCAAATAAGCTTTGGCTCAAGCTTTAAAATGCTTAATGCTACGGTTTTCTAAATTTCTACTGCTCAAAGAAAACCATTCTTGCACCTTCCAGACAGTCCACTTCCAGAAACGAAATAAGTCCTGAAACCGGCTGGATCTAGTTGGACGGGAATGTAGAGCTCATATGGGGCAATGTTGGCCGAGGATAAAGGAGGAATCGAGAACGTTGGAACAATCTAAAAGTAAATTTATTGGTCTTGAAATTTTCCAATAAATCTTACTTGCAATAAGCACTTACTTGCACTTTGACGGCAGCTCCAGTATCATCGGCGACTGAGGCGATTGGGTGATAGAAAGGAACTCGAACGAACGAGCTCACAGTTCTGCCGATTGGATTGAATACGGTAACGGCATAGCTTCCAGATTTTCTAAAAAATTGTAGCTGATCAATGAAAAATTGGTTTAAAGTTGTTGCTGATAATATGAAGTGCAAATTTTGTTTTCCTGTGCTCTCAATATTCTTGTAACTGTAAA